ACACACACTGCCCCACAAACACACACTGCCCCACAAACACTGTCCCCATACACACACTGTCCCCCACACACACACTGCCCCAAAAACACATACAGTGCCCCCATACATACACTGCCCCCTAACACACACACTACAACCCTGACATACACTGCCGCACTCACACACTTCACCCTTAACACACACCACTGCTCCTATACCCTATATACCAGCAGACCCCAGATAAGTTGTCAAACTGTTCTTAAACGGTATGACTACTTACTCTGGGGTGGAATCCTGGCACTACTGACACCATAACTACTACACTGAGCTGTAGTGGTTATTGTGCCTGGATTATTTAATTAAATAATCTACAAGTGCCCCTCCCGAGATCAGGCTCTGGATCCGCCACTGGCTAAGATGCAGATGGCTCTCTATACTGACTGCCAGGTGTAAAGGGCGGAGCTTATAACAATGATTGACAGGGAGCTAAGATGGGGGTGGCTCTCTCTATGCTGACTGCCAAGTGTAAAGGGCGGAGCTTATAACAATGACTGACAGGAGCTAAGATAGAGGCGGCTCTCTCTATACTGACTGCCAGGTGTAAAGGGCGGAGCTTATAACAATGATTGACAGGGAGCTAAGATGGAGGTGGCTCTCTCTATACTGACTGCCAGGTGTAATGGGCGGGCTTATAACAATGATTGACAGGGAGCTAAGATGGAGGCGGCTCTCTCTATACTGACTGCCAGGTGTAAAGGGCGGAGCTTATAACAATGATTGACAGGGAGCTAAGATGGAGGCGGCTCTCTCTATACTGACTGCCAGGTGTAATGGGCGGAGCTTATAACAATGATTGACAGGGAGCTAAGATGGAGGTGGCTCTCTATACTGACTGCCAGGTGTAAAGGGCGGAGCTTATAACAATGATGACAGGGAGCTAAGATGGAGGTGGCTCTCTCTATACTGACTGCCAGGTGTAAAGGGCGGAGCTTATAACAATGATTGACAGGGAGCTAAGATGGAGGCGGCTCTCTCTATACTGACTGCCAGGTGTAATGGGCGGAGCTTATAACAATGATTGACAGGGAGCTACGATGGAAGCACCCAGTTATCAGATATAGAAATGTGAATTTCATTTTATTTTTTGCACCTCACAAATACATATTTGTTAATTGAAGGGATAATTAAACATATTATTAAAAATCCTGGGATGTGACAGATGCCCTTTAAATGCACAATATTTCAGCACATAGAGTCTCGTCATCTCTTCCTGTGATGTCTTCAATGCTGAAGACTCTGGTCTAATCAGATGTTTCTCATTGGGACAGATGGATCATGCTTGACAATTGCCGCAATCCCTCACCGATGCGTCATTATCAGGCGCACTCACTTCTACTTTGAACTACAGTGCAGAGTGAGTGAGACCCCTATAAAGATATGTTAAACAGTGAAACAAATTGGAAGGTAAAGTCAACACCTGTGCAGCCGGGAGGTATTAATAAGGGGATTTGTGAAAATGCCAATTTCTCTTAATATTGGCTTTTTAGCAAATAACACAGACTAGACATGGAGTTAACCCCTAATGCACATTTCTGCTATCTATAGTGCTTTAGTGAATAGGAGTGTCCCTTTAAATGTAGTTTTTTTAGCAAAGTTTTGTCCACATTTTAAAATCACTTATTTTCCTTCGTTAAGAAAATATTTGATATTCTGCCATTAATGCTGGAGCACATTGAGCTCTTGCCTTGTTTTGCTCAAATCCAATTTAGCCTTTCCAGAGCACTAAGCCACGTGTTTTCAGCCAACTTTCTTGATGAAAATAAATATTAATTAACATTGGAATTACATCATTCAAAATAAGCAAATCATAATTCTTAGAATAATAAGGTATTTCATTATTTTAAATTTGCACCCCTAAACAAGACTGATTTTAATTACGTCCTTTTGCTCTGCACAATTTAGAAAGACACCTGAGCTTGTAAGGTATTCAAACTTGACCTCCTAATTTGTTTCGTTGTTTAACACTGTGAACCAACCCCCTTCATAATGATGGCCAAAAAACAAGCTTTCAGAATATGGTTTTAACACTTAAATAAAGAGATATAAACATTAGCAAATGTTAAAGGAAAAAGAACTAACTTATTTTTGTTTTTATATTGCCTGAATATTTGATACTCAAGAGTACACTGACCTATGCATTGACAGAGTATAACACATCAATTGTTCTAGCAAATATATAGGTTTTAAGATCATCACTTTCATACATTTGGCCCACCACCACCTGATAATCAGCCATAGACTGTTATGCCGACAATTAAGTAAGAGCAGGAGAACTCTCCTATAGGCTCTCTGTGACAGCAACTACTGGACATGCACTGTAGTTGCTATGATTGAACTTCAGTGAGCGGTCAGTAGGGGAATAGAGTAGTAGATATCACTTTGTTTTGACACCAGTGCTCTGGTAATGAAGCTAGTGTGTCTGCAACATTGAGAAGATGCTTCGAGAAGAATTCCCGAGCTCAGCCAATCCAACAGCGGGGAGGTGGGAGCAGGGTTTGGATGCTACATTAGTATAACACTCACGGAATTCTATGATGGTAGAATCTGAAATTAAATGTGTGTGTATAATGTAAAATAATGTATTTTTATGAAAACAGAATGAAAACCTGTCTAAACAGAAAGAGACACAATCAGACGAACAGAGAACTACTGGGAGCAAAGACCAACAAGGGCCACGTACGAGGTAAAAAGCAAATTTAGATATTAAAGGGACACCGTAGGCACTGTAACTGCTTTTCCCCATTAAAGTATCGAATGTCTCCTGGCTCTGTGCTTCCGTAAGTGTTAAATCATTTTTAATGTCAAGCGAGAGCATCCAGCACCCATCCTCTCTGTGCTGCCTGGGGTAATGAGGAAGTGTAAGTTTTAGTAGCAGTGGGAGGCTGTTATTGGCTGTGACTGTCAGCTGACCATATTCAGCCTATCACAGCACCCACTGCTGGTAGGAATTGGTATGGCTAGAAGGAAGTGAATAATCCCTGCCTTAGCCACACCTCCAGTGGGGGCGGGTTGAGGGTGGTTAGGGACCCTTATATAGCATGAAACTGCTCGAAAATGGTTTAACACTGAATGGTGGGACTGCACCAGGGGGCTACAGGCACCATAATCCTTTCAATGATATGAAATAGTTATAGTGCCTGCAGTGTCCCTTTTAATACAATGATCTGTAATAATACCATAAACTATAGTGGTCTAGGTGCTTGGTACCACCCTTTATAAAGTACCCTTTTATTATTTAATCCATAATGTTTGCACTTTTTGAATACAATTTAAAAAAAAAAAAAGTTTGAGGCTCATTTGCACCAAATATTCACACCCCGAATGGTGTATTTGCAGAAAATCCCTTTACCCTTACCTATTTTTAACAAATTCTATATATATATTATATTAATTTTTTATTTTTTTATCCAGAAATAAAGAAAATGTGCTGTATTCACAGACACATTGTGAATTATGAGTTTATACTAGCAAACCCCTAACAATTACCCCCAATGTATGGAGAACACCATGTGTTTATAGCTCTAATATAGGTATATATGTTCTGCTTCACATATTGCTCTGGTTTTATTATAACAATAGATACAAATTATAACAATCTCATGCTGGTAGTTTGTGAACTCATCATTTTTAAATTGTTTCCACCAGATCTTCAGATCCAGCACATTATATATCCGTGTATTTCCATGTTATTGTTTCCAATGATTTTAAAATCAAACCTGATGAAGATAAAGTTGTAGTGCGGGCGGAAAGGATAAGTCAATACAGCAATTGGAAAGACAATGTCTGTGAAATGAATTTCACAAGGTAAATCACTGTATATGACTGTCTTGTATAATAATATTTGAGTTTGGCTGCATGGGTTACTTGTGGAAAGTGCCTTTTTTGTATTTATTAGTAAAAAAGACAATTTAAATTGACACTAAATTGGCACATTTTGTGTTGTCCCCCTCCCCCCCCATGCTCTTTTTCGCATCCCATCCCCCCTCAATTTTTTTGTTTTGTTTTTTACATCTATGCTTTTTACTAAGTTAAACTTTTTAAATAAGACTTGTTTATGGTGCCAGATCTTCTTCCTATCCAGCGCCATGTTTAGTAAGCTAGCAGTGACATTTGTTCTCTGGCATCTTCTTCACGATTCTGATCTTGCGCATGCCCAGTAACTAAATCTCGTTACTGCCCAAGATCGAGACTCAGGGAGATTGTACTGGGCATGCACAATAAGCGATGGAAGACAGACGAGCCTCGTGAGATCGGAAGATTTTACTTGACAGTGTAGGTGGCTCTGCCACCTCAAACTTACCTTTGTTCTACTGCTTCCTCTTCTCTTCCTCACATGACTGCTGACTCCTTCAATCACTAAATCCCGTTACCCTTCCATTCCCAATAAGTAACTCAACGCCATGTTAAGTGGTTAAGGGCAACGACCACAACTTTATTTAAATCAACACAACCAAATACTGTCAGTGGCTGGTTTTACCCAGCACACAGGTTCACTTTAAACTTCTTCCAGAGCCTCTTCATCCTGTCCTTCGTCATCAACCAAATTCAGGCTGTTACTCCCAAAGCCCATCCGGGAATTATTCATTTACCAAACTTGCTGACACAGGAAACCCGCCACTGCACCTCCCCCCACCTCTATTACAGGGGTTCAATTATTGATTGTAACCCCATATTAAATGTATCCAAACCAATATAAATAAGATGTACGAATTCAGTATGCATAACCTTCTGGTGTTCTCCTTCTAGTTCAACATAGTCACATAGTTACATAGTCACATAGTTACATGGCTGAAAATAGACTTGTATCCATTAAGTTCAGCCTTCCTCACATATGTTTTTGCTGTTGATCCAAAAGAAGGCAAAAAACCTAGTCTGAAGCTAATTAGAAATTATATCCCTGTATGTTATGTTTTTGCCAGTATTTATCCAATTGCAGTTTAAACATCTACAGGGAGTGCAGAATTATTAGGCAAGTTGTATTTTTGAGGATTAATTTTATTATTGAACAACAACCATGTTCTCAATGAACCCAAAAAACTCATTAATATCAAAGCTGAATATTTTTGGAAGTAGTTTTTAGTTTGTTTTTAGTTTTAGCTATGTTAGGGGGATATCTGTGTGTGCAGGTGACTATTACTGTGCATAATTATTAGGCAACTTAACAAAAAACAAATATATACCCATTTCAATTATTTATTATTACCAGTGAAACCAATATAACATCTCAACATTCACAAATATACATTTCTGACATTCAAAAACAAAACAAAAACAAATCAGTGACCAATATAGCCACCTTTCTTTGCAAGGACACTCAAAAGCCTGCCATCCATGGATTCTGTCAGTGTTTTGATCTGTTCACCATCAACATTGCGTGCAGCAGCAACCACAGCCTCCCAGACACTGTTCAGAGAGGTGTACTGTTTTCCCTCCTTGTAAATCTCACATTTGATGATGGACCACAGGTTCTCAATGGGGTTCAGATCAGGTGAACAAGGAGGCCATGTCATTAGATTTTCTTCTTTTATACCCTTTCTTGCCAGCCACGCTGTGGAGTACTTGGACGCGTGTGATGGAGCATTGTCCTGCATGAAAATCATGTTTTTCTTGAAGGATGCAGACTTCTTCCTGTACCACTGCTTGAAGAAGGTGTCTTCCAGGAACTGGCAGTAGGACTGGGAGTTGAGCTTGACTCATCCTCAACCCGAAAAGGCCCCCCTCATCTTTGATGATACCAGCCCAAACCAGTACTCCACCTCCACCTTGCTGGCGTCTGAGTCGGACTGGAGCTCTCTGCCCTTTACCAATCCAGCCACGGGCCCATCCATCTGGCCCATCAAGACTCACTCTCATTTCATCAGTCCATAAAACCTTAGAAAAATCAGTCTTGAGATATTTCTTGGCCCAGTCTTGACGTTTCAGCTTGTGTGTCTTGTTCGGTGGTGGTCGTCTTTCAGCCTTTCTTACCTTGGCCATGTCTCTGAGTATTGCACACCTTGTGCTTTTGGGCACTCAGTGATGTTGCAGCTCTGAAATATGGCCAAACTGGTGGCAAGTGGCATCGTGGCAGCTGCACGCTTGACTTTTCTCAGTTCATGGGCAGTTATTTTGCGCCTTGGTTTTTCCACACGCTTCTTACGACCCTGTTGACTATTTTGAATGAAACGCTTGATTGTTCGATGATCACGCTTCAGAAGCTTTGCAATTTTAAGAGTGCTGCATCCCTCTGCAAGATATCTCACTATTTTTGACTTTTCTGAGCCTGTCAAGTCCTTCTTTGACCCATTTTGCCAAAGGAAAGGAAGTTGCCTAATAATTATGCACACCTGATATAGGGTGTTGATGTCATTAGACCACACCCCTTCTCATTACAGAGATGCACATCACCTAATATGCTTAATTGGTAGTAGGCTTTCGAGCCTATACAGCTTGGAGTAAGACAACATGCATAAAGAGGATGATGTGGTCAAAATACTCATTTGCCTAATAATTCTGCACTCCCTGTATATGGACTCTGACAAAACCACCTCTTCAGGCAGAGAATTCCACATCCTGATTGCTCATACTGTAAAAAAAACCTTTTCTTTGCCTTAGATGAAATCTCCTTTCTTCCAGCCTAAATGTGTGACCTCGTGTCCTATGTATAGCTCTGTTTATGAATAGATTTCCAGATAAAGGTTTGTATTGGCCCCGAATATATTTGTATAAAGTTATTATATCCCCTCTGAGGCACCGTTTTTCCAAACGAAATAGATTTAAATTTTTTAACCTTTCTTCATAACTAAAATGCTCCATTCCTTTTATCAATTTTGTAGCTCGTGTCTGCACTATTTCTAGTGCCATGATATCCTTCTTTAGAACAGGTGCCCAAAATTGCACAGCATATTCAAGGTGTGGTCTTACCAGTGATTTATAAAGAGACAAAGTTATATTTTCATCCCGAGAATTTATGCCCCTATTTATACATGACAAAACCTTACTGGCCTTAGCAACTGCAGATTGACATTGCATATTGCTGCCTAATTTGTTGTCTATAATAATTCCCAAATCCTTCTCGTGTGTGGTTATCCCTAATTCACTACCATTTAGGGTGTAAGTTCCTTGTGCATTCTTGACCCCGAAGTGCATAAATTTGTATTTCTCTACATTAAATTTCATCTGCCTTTTTAGTGCCCAGTCCCCCAATCTATCCAAATCCCTCTTCAGCAAAGCAATATCCTGCTCACACGTTATTACTTTACAAAGTTTTGTGTCATCTGCAAACACTAAAACATGGCTTTCAATGCCTATTGCAAGATCATTTATGAATATGTTAAATAGAAGCGGTCCCAAAACAGAACCCTAGAATGTGACGGCAGATTAGAACCATTCGGCCCATCTATTCTGCCCAATTTTCTAAATACTTTCATTAGTCCCTGGCCTTATCTTATAGCTAGATAAGGCCTTATGCCTAGCCTTATGCCTACCCCACGCATGCTTGAACTCCTTTACTGTGTTAACCTCTACCAACTGAGCAGGAAGGCTATTCCATGCATCCACTACCCTCTCAGAAAAGTAATACTTCCAGATATTATTTTTAAACCATTGCTCCTCTAATTTAAGACTATGTCCTCTTGTTGTGGTAGTTTTTCTTCTTTTCAATATAGTCTCCTCCTTTACTTTGTTGATTCCCTTTATGTATTTAACTGTTTCTATCATATCCCCCCGTCTTTCCTCCAAGCTATACATGTTAAGTTCCTTTAACCTTTCCTTGTAAATTTTATCCTGCAATCCATGAACCAGTTTAGTAGCCTGTAGCAGAATGGACTATGCTACCGTACTCTTATACCGGCTCCGAGCTGTCCGTGCCCATTTTCCCCCTTCTCGTTGTCCCCTATGTTTGGGACTTGCAGTACATGTGTGAGACATATTCCCCTCTCATTGAAACTTAAGCTTTTCTCCTGTTTCGCCTGGCCGTTCGTTCAATTCCATTCCCCTAAGTTGTTCTCTTTGACAACTGAACAAACTACCGAACAGTAGACCACCCAGATGTGGAGTGTGCTGCTAATTAACACCGTTCACACCTCCATAAACCGCAACTACACAAACATTTTAATCCGTCGGCTGGGTGGTCGCCGTTCATATAGGCGAACACGTGGTGGCGGCCATCTTGGAACACGAACAAAGACAGCGGTGTTTGGTCATCGAGTGTGTGGAACTAAAATCGGACACTCAACAGCACAAACACCGCTGGGACTGCCACCTTCAGTTACTTCGTGAGGAAGCACACGAACAGAGCGTCATTCAGGGGGATCAACCTCCCAAACCAGAGATTCATATGAACGGACACACGAACAGATTGCCATATTATTTTATATTTTTTTTCGTACTCCCGAAAGAGACCGACCTCACAGCCTATTTTCATGGAACTGTTTTGGGCAGGTGCCTTGTGTGCGGTCAATCTAAACTATACACCGGTGGCGTTTCGACTGCGTTTGTAGGATCTGAGCACTTTTCAGATATCCTGGGTGCTCAGACCCAAGCTATCTGGGGATATAGTACTTGAGGGGATGCCTTATGGGGAAATGCATATTTTGGGGTGTTAAATATTTTACATGTCCTGGACCTGAGAGCTAATGTAATTGTCTTGTGTATTTTGCCCTGTCTACTCTCAGGTCCAGTGTGGAATGCCCCTGGAATATGTATTTGGAAACCCCTTGCAGGGGAATTCTCATAAAAGGCCAGCTGTGGCTCCATTAAAATCAGTTTTACCCCCAGAGCTGAGTGTCGTCCAGTTTCTGGGGAGGTGTTGAGAGAATCTTGGACTACTTTACTGCATTTGGCTGTTTACTTGGAGTAGTTTACTTGTCCCTGAGTACATCTTTGAGTAACCAGCAGAGAAGAGTCCCTGCTAGGACTAGCGCTCCGCTACATAGCCCTTCTCTGAACGCTCTCTAAAGTATCAATATCCTTCTGAAGATACGGTCTCCAGTACTGTGTACAATACTCCAAGTGAGGTCTCACCAGTGTTCTGTACAATGGCATAAGCACTTCCCTCTTTCTACTGCTAATACCTCTCCCTATACAACCAAGCATTCTGCTAGCATTTCCTGATGCTCTATTACATTGTCTGCCTACCTTTAAGTCATCAGAAATAATCACCCCTAAAAAATCCCTTTCCTCATATGTTGAGGTTAGGACTCTATCAAATATTCTGTACTCTGCCCTTGGGTTTTTACGTCCAAGATGCATTATCTTGCACTTATCCACATTAAATGTCAGTTGCCACAATTCTGACCATTTTTCTAGTTTACCTAAATCATTTGCCATTTGGCTTATCCCTCCTGGAACATCAACCCTGTTACATATCTTAGTATCATCAACAAATCAAGACTTTCTGCAATATCACTAATAACATTATTAAAGAGAATGGGTCCAAGTACAGATCCCTGATGTACCCCACTGGTGACAAGCCCATGCTTTGAATATACTCCACTGACTACAGCCCTCTGTTGCCTGTCACTCAGCCACTGCCTTACCCATTCAACAATATTGGAATCCAAACTTAAATATTGCAGTTTATTGATAAGCCTTCTATGTGCAACAGTGTCAAAAGCCTTATTGAAATCTAGGTAAGCAATGTCTACTGCACCACCCTGATCTATAATCTTAGTTACCTAATCAAAAAACTCAATAAGATTAGTTTGGCATGATCTCCCTGAAGTAAACCCATGTTGTCTCTGATCTTGAAATCCATGTGTTTTTAGATGTTCAACAATCCTACCCTTTAACATGGTTTCCATCACTTTCCCCACTACTGAAGTAAGGCTTACTGGCCTATAGTTGCCCGACTCCTCCCTATTACCTTTCTTGTAAATGGGCACAACATTCGCTAACTTCCAATCTTCTGGGACTACTCCTGTTAACAATGATTGGTTAAATAAATCTGTTAATGGTTTTGCTAGTACACCACTAAGCTGTTTTAATAGCTTTGGGTGTATTCCATCAGGTCCCACTTTCCGCTGGTGATGTAATATGCCCCTTATATTTCCGCTGGTGATGCAATATGCCCCTTATATTTCCATTGGTGATGTAATATGCCCCTTATATTTCCGCTGGTGATGTAATATGCCCCTTATATTTCCGTTGGTGATGTAATATGCCCCTTATATTTCCGTTGGTGATGTAATATGCTCCTTATATTTCCGTTGGTGATGTAATATGCTCCTTATCTTTCCGCTGGTGACGTAATATGCTCCTTATCTTTCTGCTGGTGCTGTAATATGCTCCTTATCTTTCCGCTGGTGATGTTATATGCTCCTTATCTTTCCGTTGGTGATGTAATATGCTCCTTATCTTTCCGCTGGTTCTGTAATATGCTCCATATCTTTCCGCTGGTGCTGTAATACCTTTCCGCTGGTGATGTAATATGCTCCTTATCTTTCTGCTGGTGCTGTAATATGCTCCTTATCTTTCCGCTGGTGATGTAATATGCTCCTTATCTTTCCGCTGGTGCTGTAATATGCTCCTTATCTTTCTGCTGGTGCTGTAATATGCTCCTTATCTTTCCGCTGGTGATGTAATATGCTCCTTATCTTTCTGCTGGTGCTGTAATATGCTCCTTATCTTTCCGCTGGTGATGTAATATGCTCCTTATCTTTCCGCTGGTTCTGTAATATGCTCCTTATCTTTCCGCTGGTGCTGTAAGATGCTCCTTATCTTTCCGCTGGTGACGTAATATGCTCCTTATCTTTCCGCTGGTGACGTAATATGCTCCTTATCTTTCCGCTGGTGATGTAATATGCTCCTTATCTTTCCGCTGGTGCTGTAATATGCTCCTTATCTTTCCGCTGGTGACGTAATATGCTCCTTATCTTTCCGCTGGTGCTGTAATATGCTCCTTATCTTTCCGCTGGTGCTGTAATATGCTCCTTATCTTTCCGCTGGTTCTGTAATATGCTCCTTATCTTTCCGCTGGTTCTGTAATATGCTCCTTATCTTTCCGCTGGTGCTGTAATATGCTCCTTATCTTTCCGCTGGTTCTGTAATGTGCTCCTTATCTTTCCGCTGGTGACGTAATATGCTCCTTATCTTTCCGCTGGTGACGTAATATGCTCCTTATCTTTCCGCTGGTTCTGTGATGTAATATGCTCCTTATCTTTCCGCTGGTGACGTAATATGCTCCTTATCTTTCCGCTGGTGACGTAATATGCTCCTTATCTTTCCGCTGGTGCTGTAATATGCTCCTTATCTTTCCGCTGGTGATGTAATATGCTCCTTATCTTTCCGCTGGTGACGTAATATGCTCCTTATCTTTCCGATGGTGCTGTAATCTGCTCCTTATCTTTCCGCTGGTGCTGTAATATCTTTCCGCTGGTGATGTAATATGCTCCATATCTTTCCGCTGGTTCTGTAATATGCTCCTTATCTTTCCGCTGGTTCTGTAATATGCTCCTTATCTTTCCGCTGGTGCTGTAATATGCTCCTTATCTTTCCGCTGGTGCTGTAATATGCTCCCTTATCTTCCGCTGGTGCTGTAATATGCCTTATCTTTACGCTGGTGATGTAATATGCTCTATCTTCCGCTGGTGCTGTAATATGTTTCCTTATCTTTCCGCTGGTGCTGTAATATGCTCTTATCTTTCCGCTTGTTCTGTAATATGCTCCTTATCTTTCCGCTGGTTCTGTAATATGCTCCTTATCTTTCCGCTGGTGATGTAATATGCTCCTTATCTTTCCGCTGGTGATGTAATATGCTCCTTATCTTTCCGCTGGTGCTGTAATATGCTCCTTATCTTTCCGCTGGTGATGTAATATGCTCCTTATCTTTCCGCTGGTGACGTAATATGCTCCTTATCTTTCCGCTGGTGATGTAGTATGCCCCTTATCTTTCCGCTGGTGATGTAATATGCCCCTTATCTTTCCGCTGGTGATGTAATATGCCCCTTATCTTTCCGCTGGTGCTGTAATATGCCCCTTATATTTCCGTTGGTGATGTAATATGCTCCTTATCTTTCCGCTGGTTCTGTAATATGCTCCTTATCTTTCCGCTGGTGATGTAATATGCTCCTTATCTTTCCGCTGGTTCTGTAATATGCTCCTTATCTTTCCGCTGGTGATGTAATATGCTCCTTATCTTTCCGCTGGTGATGTAATATGCTCCTTATCTTTCCGCTGGTGATGTAATATGCTCCTTATCTTTCCGCTGGTGATGTAATATGCTCCTTATCTTTCCGCTGGTGATGTAATATGCTCCTTATCTGTCCGCTGGTGACGCAAAAAGCTCCTTCTGTTTCCGCTGGTGACGTAATATGCTCCTTATCTTTCCGCTGGTGACGTAATATGCTCCTTATCTTTCCATTGGTGATGTAATATGCTCCTTATCTTTCCGCTGGTGATGTAATATGCTCCTTATCTTTCCGCTGGTGATGTAATATGCTCCTTATCTTTCCACTGGTGATGTAATATGCTCCTTATCTTTCCGCTGGTGACGCAAAAAGCTCCTTCTGTTTCCGCTGGTGCTGTAACTGTTGATGATCATTTCTTCTTCTTGTATTCTGTTCAGATTTTTTTATTTTATTGTTTTTTGATGCATTTGAGATAAAACATTTAGAAAGACATTTCTGATTTTTAAGAAATCAAATGGTAGAGTAATTAACTTATAACCCCGTCACCCCCAGTGCCACCATCTGTGAAATTGCTAACTTTTAATATTCTTTTCATTTCTCAAGGAATTTGGACCATCACGGTTTCCTTTATGAAGGTTGCGCAAAACTTCACAAAAGCAATATTGATAAAAATATTCCATACAAGTATGTAGTTATGCGTAAAGGCAAGGAATTGGAGTATGAATACATTTATTATGTTGATAGTCAAGACCGCTCACATGTGAATCGTTGTCTTAATTTACCACCAAGGCTTACAACTGAAAGAGGTAGGAAGCACCTTTCATTCAAAACTCTATTCTACTTCTGTTTCTCTATCTTTAAACCGATGATGCTGACTATTTTTACAGACTATTCCTAATTAATAAAAGGAACTACTAATTTATTATTCTTTCAATTGACCCTGCTTTTAAGGATTTTTTTGCTGATCATATATCGCACTCTATAAAGTGCCTACATCTTCAATAAAAATACATTTAAAAAAAACTGTTTATACCTTGTAGTGAAGAGGATTTTTTGTACGTATAATAAAAGATTTGTAGGTGATTTTTATTTTTCCTCGGGCACGTTGGACACAGAAAATACATCATTAACGTTCAATAGTTAGCTGTTCCTGCCCTCTGATTGGCTACTAACATAATGTTCCCCTGGCATTCCTTATGTTAATAAAATAAAAGAGGGTTTGACTACTGTAATGCAGATCCAAGATGATGAACTCGTGCATAAAGGACTATGACGCACTGAGCTCCTATCTCCCTGTCCAGTTTCCTACCCTTTCCGCCCCTCACTGCTATTGGTGGGACCATCCTAAAACTGCTCTAGAACTCCGGCTCGGCCACTTACTTTTGGATTTCCTAGTCATCATGGACCTTCATGGTCCCCACATTGAGCAGATGCTTGTTTTGGACATTTTAGTCTAAATGTTACAATTATTTCCTCTTTTGTTTTCAGAATGGCATCAATATGACGACATTTGCATGAAAGAAGACAAGAGCTTCTTCAAGAAAATAAAAGAGGCTGGAAAAAACCTAATGGGCTTGGTGTCAGACCAATATAAGAACATTTATAAAGCGAAAGAGATAGCAGGCGAGGTCATGCTTGATAGTATCTTCAGTATTCTCAGCACCTGCGATTCTATCAATTTGTCAAGTTTTTTTAATCAGCTCCACCAGTTTTATTTTGTGTACACAAACCCGTTGTTGTTTGGTAAATACCTGATAAAATGGACTGCTCTTGAATTTGGAGAGAAACAGGTAAAATATGATGTTATGTTAAGATGCTAAACAAGGCTGCATGTTTGATACTTGAATGATAAAATATAAGACTTTCACAAAGTATTTCTGTCTCACGTCAGATCGTTATGTGGTTGCCATATGTTTCCTATATTTAAGTAATCTTAAAGGGCTACTCCAAGCACCATAACCACTTAAGTGTTTGTTTGTTTTATGTATCATTTTGAGAGCTCTGTTTTTTTGTTTTTCTTTAATCCTTTTTCAAAAAACAAACCTACTTTTTGAAATATTACTAGTTAGCAATAGTTGGGACCACTTCAGTTATCTGAAGTGGTCATGATGCACTCCACCTTGGGCAGCGTCATTGACCAGCCTGGAAGAGAGTTCTGGGTTAGCCAGTGTTAAATCTGTGCATATTTGGTGTCTGTCGTCAACAGGCATAGCATGCTGTCAGCCTGTGACCAATGGCATACATTTCCTACAGAGACCGGTGCTCAGGGCCGGACTGGCCCACCGGGATACCGGGAAATTTCCCGGTGGGCCGTCGGCACCTGGGGCCGGGCAGGCAGCTGGCTCAGCTGCGGCTGCAGAGGGAGCTGGCTGTTCTGGCGGCCGCAGGGGGAGCTGGCTGTTCTGTCTCTGCTCCCCCTCCCCAGCGCACTACAAAGAGACCGGGGCCGGTATATGACGTTATACTCCGGCCCCGGTCTCATTAAGCGGCGCGCTGGGGATGGGGAGCAGAGACAGAACAGCCAGCTTCCCCTGTGGCCACCATCAGAGCTCCCCACAGGTAGAAATTGTGTGTCAGTGTGTGTGTGTGTCTGTCTGTGTCATGGTGTGTGTGTGTGTTTGTCTGTGTCATGGTGTGTGTGTCTGTCTGTGTCATGGGGTGTGTGTGTGTTTCTGTCTGTGTCGTGGTGTGTGTGTGTCTGTGTCATGGTGTGTGTGTCTGTCTGTGTGTGTCTGTCTGTGTGGTGTGTGTGTGTGTCTGTCTGTCGTGGTGTGTGTGTGTGTCTGTCTGTCGTGGTGTATGTGTGTGTCTGTCTGTCGTGGTGTATGTGTGTGTCTGTCTGTCGTGGTGTATGTGTGTGTCTGTCTGTCGTGGTGTATGTGTGTGTCTGTCTGTCGTGGTGTATGTGTGTGTCTGTCTGTCGTGGTGTATGTGTGTCTGTCTGTCGTGGTGTATGTGTGTCTGTCTGTCGTG